AGTCCAACCAGTAACTCCACTAACCGACTCCGTTCAACTGGAAATTCCTCTATCAGGTAAATTTAACCTACATGTAAAAACAGTGACTACACTTTGTGTATGTATCATATTTTTAATTGAATTATTTATAGATGTAGGGCATTTTTGGATTTGATTAGTTGATGACATGAATAAGAGAGTTACATGTAAATAAAGGTTTGTGTGGTGGGAGTTTTGTCTGTTTTAGTTTCCCTGTGTTAATCCAGGTGAGCTGCAGCAGAGACTCATCTAAAGCAGGACAGAGTCCTGACCTGCAGGGCTGAACACCCCCAGTCTATATTATAATAAATTATTATTTTACATTACAGCGTTTTTTTATCATTCTTTGCAGACTGAAGCATTCTGTGTAACGTCTTCAAAGCCTTAAGGAGTTGAAGGAGTCGGCCTGGGAAACCCCAGGATGCTGCAAGTCGTTCTGACCCGTCTGACAGTCACTGGTTCTGCTGAAGAGATGGACTCACTGGATGAGCTCGGCCTTCCAGCCTCCACTGCAGAGAAATTAGAAGTCCTGAACCAAAAACTGGAATCAGGAGCTGTTCAGAAATAAATGGTATGTATAATTTTTTGAAAACATAATTAGCCTTTCTCTTCACATTATTCTTTCCTTCCATCAGGTGCAGTACTGTTTAAATATTAACTTTTAAATTCTCTGTGTTACTTTTTTAGCTGGATCTCAGAAGGACCTGATCTGCTGTCTGCAACATTTTATCCAAGATCCTTTCAAACCACCAAGCAGAGCAGCAGAGATCTATTCAGACTGGGTGGAGAGAGAAGTCTTTCTGGTCACCAGCTCTTGATGACTGAAATATTTAGTAAGTATAATCTCATCCATCCATTTTCTATACACCCTTGTCCCTAGTGAGGCCAGGACGGTTGCTGGTGCCTCTTCCAGCCAACGTTCTGGGCGAGAGGCAACAGTCTGTCGCAGAATCTCATGTGCCTTTCAGTCTAAAATTGTGTGCATTGTTGTATAATATCCTATAGCTGGACTTTGTTATGCATGTTTCTCTGTAGCCAATGAAATGTTTTGTTTCATAAAACCATGAATACACGTCTCAGTTTAAAATATATATATTTTGTCTGTTTTTCAGAGGCTGTACCAAAGAACCAAGCGTCGGATTCAGAACACCAAAAGTTTTAAGGCTCAAGGTTGTCTGGTTTGTGTTTTTGTTTTTTGTTTTTGTTATTTTGTGCATGTGTCATCGCTCATAAAATAAGTTCTGGTGTAAATATTTCTTTTAAAATTATATTTTTAAGCACCGGGTTACTTTGCTTTGATTTTTTTGTTATTGTAAATGTCTTTTCTAAAAACCCATTGTATTAAAATGTATACTGTGCTGTTTTACTTTGTTCTAAGGTTTCATGTGTTTTTGGTACATATGTATAAATAAATGTGATTATCATATTTTGTTGTGGGTAGTCTTT